TTGGTGAAAGGGTTAATAACATATAATTATATATAAGCCTGGGGAACATAGGCTTAAGTCCCTTCTGGGAAATCCAGACTGCACTCGACACTTACATATTGCCCAGAAAGTCACGGCAGTTCACTCACAATCACACATTTACCTGGATCTAGGTAGCATCTCTCAAATCAACCTTGATAATTATATATGGGATATTAATTACAGATTATCTGGTTTTCCCCTACAGCAGCAACTTTAACTGATCCTTATTTTTTTTTTTTCAACCACTTTCTCCTTTTACATTCTCATCTATACACACAACTAACTAACTTTCTAAAAATTACATTTTTATATAATCCAGCAACCAGGAAGCTTTATTTGCTTGATGACTAGTATCTAGCACCAAAGACAAATTTTACTCTTGCTGCCCCTTAGGCAAGGCTGGGCACGAAGTTCCTATGTTATTTACAAAACAGATTCACTGATCTAGAGAACTTACTGTTGCCAGGGGGGAAGGATGGTGGGGAGAGATCGTTTGGGAGTTTGGGACAGACAGGTACACTCATTTAAAATGGATAACCAACAAGGACCTACTATATAAAACAGGCAACTCCACTCAGTGTTATGTGGCAGTCTGGATGGGAGGGATGTATCCATATATATATATGTATCCATTCTCTTCTGGCCATGTATATATGTATGTATGTATGGCTGAGTCCCTTTTCTATCCATCTGAAACTATCACAACATTGTTAATTGGCTATACTCCAATATAAAATAAAAAGTTAAAAAGAAGTTCCTATGTGGAAGCATGATCATCAGACTTTATATATAAATATATATATTACATAATAGAACATATATAGAATATAAGGTCTTTCCTGGTGGCTCAGTGGTAAAGAATCTGCCTGCCAATGCAGGAGACTTGATTTCAATCCCTAATCTGGGAAGATCCCCTGGAGAAGGACATGGCAACCTATTCCAGTATTCTTGGCCTGGGAAATCTCATGGACAGAGGAGCCTAGTGGGCTACAGTCCATGGGGTCACAGAAGAGTCAGACACAACTTAACAACTAAACAACAACAATATAGGCTATATGAAAGAACATATGTAGGATTGGCATAGAATACTGGAGACTGTAATCTCACACTGTGTTGAAAATGCTTTCTAAAGCGCTAAAATGTCCCTGGCTTCTAGAAGGCTGTCACAGCCCTCAAATTTTGTTTCCTATACAGAAACTAAATGTTATTCTTGACATGGTTATTTCTCTCTCTGGTTTATTCTCAGGGTGTACACTCAGAGAAGATTTTGAGAAAGTTACTCCTCGTTTTCCCTTGTGTCTCCCATCACTTCCCTTGAAATAATAAAAGCAACTCTATGTAGGCTTTAAAATAAATATTTCCCACATTTTTCCAACACATGTTATTTCTATTCATAATTCTTAACTAAATTTAGATTTTTATTAATCCAATGTGACCTAAAATTTCTGCGTTAACAGCACAATGTGGAACCGGGCTTATTCTCTTTGGCTCCAGATAAAGCCATCATCTTGAAAATGGTTCTTTCTGACAAAAAGGTGTTCTTTTGAAATAAAGTCTTATTCACTACATTCCTCTTAGAGTTAATGTGAATTTTAGTGCCTCTAATTTTAGATTGAAGTGAAGTCTAGAATAAAACCCACCAGCTGACAATTGAATTTATAGATAGTTGTGAATATTTCAGGCTTGAATAATAGAGCTGTAGAATTTCAGAGACAGAGAGGGAGAGAATTAAGACCCGCTGTAGTTTTAGGGTATAATGTAATGGTGTCTAGGAAATGTTCAGTGTAATGAGCTAAGTAGTAATTAGGAGACAACTGTGTTCTTTCAGCTTCAGTTTTGGTGTCACTCCAAGCTCTGGGGAGGGTGACTCAACAGGGCAGCCCTGTCGCCAAGGTGCTGGCGGCTCCTTCAGCCACCTTTGCACTCGGGGGTGAGTGTGAAGGTCATAGAGCCTCTGTGTGTGCCATCTCTACCTTTTCCTGCTTGGCCGTTTTTTAAAAAGTCAGCGAACACCTTGAAAGACTCTTTGCTGGCTTGAAGACATTTCTTGCACTGGACTTTGGAGTCAGCCCTGAGTTCAAATCTCGATTTTTCCACTTCCAAACTGTATGACATTCAGGAAACTGTATAATGTCTGAGGGTGTGTGTCCTAAAGAGTCATATCTCCCTCACAAGACCGTCTTGGGGATTAAATGAGGAAATATTTGTAAAGTACTCAGGTCAGTGCCTGGTGCCTAGTAAGCACTTGGTGAATGGCAGCTCTATTATTATTTCCACTGGGCAGAAAGTGTTCATGAAGGAAGCGGTTGGCATCTGAGAAGAAATCTGTAAAACCTACAGCACAAATCCAGCTTGTTCACTTTCATTTACAGCTGCAGTGGCCAGACTTGTGTAGGAAGAGAGAGTGCCACTGACCCAAGCCTTCCCTGACTGCATGAACTTTGTGAATTTTCTTGCTTCCATCCAGATAATTGCAAAGTTAGGGTCTGAGGTTTTCCAGGAAACGGCTGGCTGGAGATACCCAATTTTTCAAAGACCTTATTAACAACATGCATTTGACGCATAAACATTTGGTGACTTTGCAAATAACACTTCCATGAATAGGAGGGTGATTCCTGCCCTTGTTCCTCAATGAAGAGTTCTGCTCATTTTAGAAGTCCATGAGGAAAAAGCTCAAAGGAAAGAAAGTTGGTATAAAATTGAACACAGACAATCAAAAAAAGAGATAGAGAAGAGGACCTGGAGAAAGCATAATCTGTTTTATGACTAAGCAGCCCAAAGCAACTGTCCTCAGAAAAAAAGAAAAGAAAAAAAAAAGATTAAAAAATGGTGCCTCATAGGCAGATGTTGAAAGAGTTAATTGTCATCACTATGAGAAATTCAGTGCTGGAGAGAGGAAAGGGGAGCAAGCGTGTTTTAGTACCCTAATAACTTCTAACTGTAGTCTAAGATCATAATGTATGTGCGAGCAGTCCAGTAATTATAAGGTAATAAGTGAAGTGGTGGGGTAAGTGCTTTAAATTAAAAGGAATTCGCAGGGCTGCTGTAAGTCAGTGCCGACCCGCTTTCTTTCAAACGTTGACTTGAGGAAAAGTGCTTAGCCCAGGGTGCAAGCCTGGAGACAAGGAGAGCGATCTATTAATTACAACGCTCATTAACAGTGACGGGGACGAGGCAGCCGAGGTGGGAGGGAGCGGAAGCCTGGTTCAGGCTGCCAAGGGGGATATTTTTTCCTTTCGTTCCTTCTCCAGGAAAGGACAACATGAGTGGGTGGGCGAAAGCAAGAAGGTATTTTTGTGGATTTCTCCCGCCTGTTTGTTTTCTTCACATCCTGAGCTTGCTTTCCTTGAGAAAGCAGCACAGAACTTCCAGTGGGAAATCTACTAGGTAGGAGGCGTATTCTGGCTCTAGAGGCACTTGAGACCCCTTCTTGGAACCATTCCGTGAACGTTCCCTGATAGGAAATAACTGTATTTTTCTTCGTTTGAAAGTAACAGAACAGTGGGGGAATTTGGGGAGGGGGGTGCCCAGAGGAGAGCATGAAATTTGTGCAGTGATAAAATATCATTAGATTTATAGGGAAAGCGGTAATTGCATCCTTTTGGTTATCCTGTGACATACTCCCCCAAATTCCAGTGAATGACCATTACCCTGTGGGATTCCCATAAATCAGCTTTCCACTGGGAAGCAATTATCTTAGTCTTTTTCTCAACTGTCACCTCTTCTTCCTCTAGTGGGCTCTCAGAAGGTTCTTAGAGACTTTGCTAAAAGGGGTTTTGCACTGTGGCTAACTGGAAAGAAAATAGGACCAATTATATCTTTTCATCTAATTACCTGTTCAGAAATTTAATCACTTATGGGTCTGACGAAGTAAGAGGGATGGACTGTTTCTTCTACATAAGAGAGAGAGAGAGTTCGTCAGATTAGATGCTTCATCATATTTCCTTTTAGGAGGTATGATGTTAAAAGAGCAAAGGAAGGGGAGAAAAAGAGACCACTGCAAGTCTTATTTTTTCCGGACAAAATCTGATACATCCTCACTTTCCTGAGTATAGAATATCAGATTTATTCTGATAGACTGAAGATAGATAGATTTATTCTGGTAGACTGAAGGCTCAAATGGCTTTTAGTGATTCCTGTCGTTGACGGTGGTGGATCACACACATGAACACATACACACGTAAACACATGTACATACTTATCAATCGATGCCTGTAATCATTTCCCTGTTTTGTGGGCTCGAGGAAATAATCCTTAAACATTGGCCAGAATTTTATCCTTGAAATCTTTCTATATCTCTAAATGGCTAGGAAATAGAGCAATTTTAATAAAGAGGCAAAGTGAGTGAGGATATATTCCCTATGTGTCTTAGATCAATAAAAGACACGGTTATGCTTATGGAAGCATGCTGACAAACAGTAATTACAGAGCTGAGGAATCATCTGTTCGGTCTTGACAATAAAAGTTGGGTTCTGCTCGTAATGCAATGATTGCAACATCAGAAAATGGAAGAGAAAAGTAGAGTGAGGATAAATGTAATTTTAGAAATGATACAGACCTTGCAAATTACTCTTCTTCCGTGGATAAATTTAGAATCTAGAGAGTTGATTTAGATATTGACAGTGCTTCTCCAAGAGAAAGGTATTAAAATGAAAGGAAATGGATCCCTTAGTGCTTTTGTTTATGGTCTGTCTGGGCACTTTGATGTGACCCTGTCACGCCCTTATGCTGATTACCTTGTAGAACAAGAGATATTGACTAGCGAATGATGTGTAGTCCCCAGCTCTTAGGCAGCACTCTCCAGGAGCCAAGTCTTTAACATATGAATTCTTGTCTTTTTTTTTTTTTTCTTCCTTCAATCTTCCCTTCCATTTCCTCTTGTTGTTTCACCTTCTCTTTATTTCTACCTCTTTTTGGTCTCCGTGTTTGACACTCTCTCCTTCTCTTTCTCCTTCTGTTTGTGTCTCCCTCCACCTCAGGCTTCTCTGCAGAATGTCAAACAAAGATCGGCACATTGATTCCAGCTGTTCGTCCTTCATCAAGACGGAACCCTCCAGCCCGGCCTCCCTGACGGACAGCGTCAACCACCACAGCCCAGGTGGTTCTTCAGACGCCAGCGGGAGCTACAGTTCAACCATGAATGGCCATCAGAACGGACTTGACTCGCCGCCTCTCTACCCTTCGGCTCCTATCCTCGGAGGTAGCGGGCCTGTCCGGAAACTGTATGATGACTGCTCCAGCACCATCGTCGAAGATCCCCAGACCAAGTGTGAATACATGCTCAACTCGATGCCCAAGAGACTGTGTTTAGTGTGTGGCGACATCGCGTCTGGGTACCACTATGGAGTAGCATCCTGTGAAGCCTGCAAGGCATTCTTCAAAAGGACGATTCAAGGTGAGTGAGGGTTGCGCCTGGATACCCACCCTCCTCCCGCTCACAGGATGGTTGGTTAGTTGGTTTTCCTGGGTCTTGTCCTAGCTGATCTAGTTTTGCCATCTTAATTCTGTCTTGCATACAAAATCGAAATAGATTAAAATTGATAGTGGAGGATTTGTGGAATAGACTCCGCCCCTCCATTTGCTCCCTATCAATTCCATCTTTACTGCTCCAGGGATGGAATGGTAATAAGCTTTGGGTGGAGTTTTAAAAGAGCACAGCTCTTAATAGAGCAGTGGGGGTCTAGATAGCAACTGAACTGATGTGTACTGGATGGTAGTGGTGGGAGTTTAGTCACAGAGTTTAGTCACAGAGATGCTTGCAACCCCATCTATCCATGGGATTACCCAGGCAAGAATACGGGAGTGAATTGCCATTTGCTTCTCCAGAGGTTCTTTCTGACCCGGGGATGGAACCCGTATCACAGGCATTGCAGGCTATCTCCTGCCTTGGAGGCGAATTCTTTACTGCCGACCCACCGGGGAAGCCCTATCTATGCCCTGGATAAACTGTGTTTTTACCTCTTCTGTTCTTCTTAGAGCTGAAATAATAAATATTTCAGACCAGTTATTTTCAAACTAGAGTATGCATCACACTCACCTGGAGGTCTTGTGAAAATGCAGATCACCCACTCCCAGAGCTTCTGATTCATTAGCTCTGTCTTGGGTAGGAATGTGAGAATTTATATTTCTTTTTTTTTTTTAAAAAACATGTTTTTAATATTTAATTTTATTGATTTATTTGGCTGTGCTGGGTCTTAGTTGCAGCATGTGGGATCTAGTTCCCCAACCAGGGGTTGAACCGAGGTCCCCCGCATCGGGAGTGTGGTGTCTTAGCCACTAGGCCACCAAGGGAGTCCCTAGAATTTATATTTCTAACAGATTTTCAGATGCTGCTGCTATTGCTGGTCTAGGGACTACACTTTGAGAATCACCTCTCGAGACAAATTTAATTTTCTATGGCCTTCCTTCTTTTCCTGTGGTTAGACACACTTTCCCCACCTTTTTAATGAATTCATATAAAAAACTTCCAAACTATATCTAATTATAAAATATGCCTCCAACATATATGACATACCAAAACTTCATAGATCTCCAGATTTACAAATGGCAGTGTTATTTCCCACAAAAAAATGTAGAAACTATGGTTGAAATTTGTTTGTGACCTTTAAACTAGGAATCCACAAGTACAAAACTCAACTCCTTTTCAAAGCTATAGATACATATCCTTACAGAAAATGACATTTCACCTATCTGTATCCTTTGTGGTACACTTTCAAGAAAATACAGGAAGGAAAGAATCTTTGTTTATTGAGGGCCTCTAGCACACCAGTGATTCTATTCTGCTCAGTGATTTAGGAAATGTATCTTCTGGGCATTCCCTGGTGTCCGGTGGTTAAGGCCTCCATGCTCTCACTGCTGAGGGCTCAGGTTCAACCCTGGTGGGGAAACCAAGAGCCCACAAGCCTTGTGGTGTGGCCAAAACAAAACCAAACCCAAAATGTTATCTTCTTAATCAGTTATGGATACAAGTGTGTCTTCCCAAGTATCAGTTGTTCTCAACCTTGCAGGCTCACTGGAGTCGCCTGGAGATGTAAAATAATATTGATATCTGGGCTCTTACCCCCAAATTCAGAATTAATTGGCCTTGGGTGCAGCCAGGGCCAGTGGGGATTTTGAAAGCTTCCTAGTTAATGCTTCAGGTAAAACTGAGGTTAAGAACCACTGCACTGTACTGTGCTGTGTTCTGTAACAGTGTTTCTCAAAGTGTGAGCTCTCATTCAGGAAATCAGCATCCTTGGGGGATTTGTTAGAAAGGCAGAGTATTCCCATCCTGCATCCCAGATTGCCTCCATCAGCATCCCTGGGGGTGGACCCAGCACTATGTGCTTTGCCAAGCCCTCCAGGTGACTGATGATGCTCAGAGTTTGGGAACCACAGCCCTGTTACCATGTTGCTACTGATTTAGTGCTGGCAACTCTGCTTTGTCATCTACTGGTCTCTTGTTGGACATAACTGGAATCAGTTTAATAACTGTGACATGCTTCCTGGTTTTTAAAGCGCAAAAGAGATGATGTTTGTTAAACTCTAATCCTTCTGAATGTTCCAACAAAAGGTGATTCTGAAGCCCTTTATGGGCACAGAGTTATCTTCTACCCTTTCTTTTAAGAGCAAGTCTCACCCAGGTGCAATGAAGACTATAGTGAGTGTGCTTATTGGAACAGGTGGTTCCATCTCCCACTTGCTTTTCTGTTGTCCATTACATGATTGTTTCCTTGATGTATGGCCGATGAATACACAGTTAAAGAGTTAAACTGCTCAGTTGGTCAAGAAATTGTAACTTATATAATAGAATGGATCTTTCAGCTTCATCTTTTCATAGCCTTTTGTAGATTTAACTGAAGAACACAACCCAAGTTAGTGTGAGTACGTATGAGTTACCTGAATATTTTCCTAGCTGTATCTTCATGTTTAATGGATCATCATTGCCATATTTTATTAGCATTTCTTACAAAAATCCTTCATCCACTGGATCTTTATTTCCTCTATTCTCATCTGTAAACTGAAGGCATTAAGACCTACCTCAAGGAATGCTTCTGGATAAAATGAAATACAAAATCACATGTAAAGTGAGTAAGTAAAAACATGATGGTCTGTATGCAAAGCTTCCTCTCACTTTGGCGCATTTGAATGTATTTCTTCAGCCTTCTTGCTTTTGTTGGTAAGTAGTGTCTGCCTCTTTTGCAACCCCACGGACTGTAGCTTGCCAGGCTCTTCTGTCCGTGGGTTCCCAGGCGAGAAGACTGGTGTGGGTTGCCATCTCCTCCTCCAGGAGATTTTCCTGACCCAGGGAGCGAACCTGCATCTCCTACACTGGCAGGCAAGTTCTTTACCACTGAGCCGCCAGGGAGGCCCTTCAGCCTACTCGTGTGCTCAAATGCTCAGTCATGTCTGACTCTTTGCAACGCTTTGGACTGCAGCCTGACAGGCTCCTCTGTCCATGGGATTCTCCTGGCAAGAATGCTGGAGTGGGGTGCCGTTTACTCCTGCAGGAGGTCTTCCTGACCTGGGGATCGAACCCGCCTCTTTTATGTCTCCTGCATTGGCAGTAGATTCTTCACCACTGGTACCCCCTCTGCCTACTTACTAGATTGCAAAACTTGAGAAGGAAAACACTTCAAATTTGGGGGTTCTTAGCAGCCATTGCCCCACAATATTAGAATATGGATGCTCCAGAGCATCTCAAATTTAAACTGTTAGTAATTTGATTTTGTTAATTCCATTTACACAACTCGGGGTCTAACTATTGACTTGGGGTCAACAAATATTGACTCAGAATCTACTGTGGGCCTGGCAGTGTATTGGTTTGAGATTCAGTTTAGCCACGTTTTCTGAAAGCTTGGTTCCCAGAGGTTTGTGGATTGAGGTAAATTCCTCCTATAAATGTTTCCAGCCTTGAGGGAATACCAAAGTATTTGGTTGGGGAGCAGTATTAAACAACTTGGTCCTCAGTTTGTTTTCCAGTATGTTGTCCTAAAGACAGGACCACTGACTATGTGCAAACGTGTCCTGACAGTTGTTTAAAAAAAAGAAAGAAAGAAATTCTGTTGCCGAACTATTAATAGCCATGCGGTAGTTGCTTACCAGAGATCCCTGGAATAGAGCAATTAGAATTCTGTTGCTGCTTCTTCCTTAGATGCTGAAATGCTACCAAAAGCTTCCCAGGGCGAAGCACAGGGTGGTTCTTGGCATTGATGTTAGTGCTCAGTTCTACTCCATATTGGAGAGAGCAACTTCCAAGGATTTTGAGCAGGAGACAGACATGTCACTGTCCAGATTAGACTCTGGACTCGCCCACCTGGCTGTGCTTGTAGCTGGCAGCTGGAAGGCACTCCGGCTACCCTGCCATCCTGCTAGCTACATCAGCGGGCGTCCTGCCGTGGTGCTTACTTAGCCCCAAAAAGGCAGTGAGGCAAATAAAGGGATTAAATTGTGAAAGTGTAATGTAATAATTAGGGTGGTAATTGTAAGGGAGATTGGAACAGCCCCTCCTTCCTGCGGCCAACGATTGATAGTGATGCAACTGGGAAGATGTTGAAAGTGGCCCGAATCTGTTGCATCATCAGAGATGCTCATTCTGATGTGGAAAGGACTGTAACATCCATTCTCATGTCTTGAGGCAGCATTGCAGCCAAACTACCCTTGACAGATAGTAGTCTCTGCTTTCCCCTCCCTTGAAGCTCTCCTGGAGAATAAGAAATGATTATGCAACCTCCCTTAAGAGCAAGTCTTTCTGCAATCTCACAACCCATAGGAGCAAGGCATTGTGTAAGGGTGGCTTCCTGGTTCAGCATGCTGTCACTGATTTGACTAAGGGACATATATATTCAAAGCCATAGTCACAGGGAATATTGCCACTTTAGAATTTTTATTTCTTGTTATAATAATTTAAGATTGGTTATCCAATATGTAATATATTTTAAAAGTTGAGCAACATGCTTAAATTTAGAGCCAAAAGAACAAATATCTGGAGCACATCTTAAGAAAAGTAATGAGACTTGTTCTTGTCAAAGCTGAATGTGGTTATCCTGGTTGTGAGAGGCCATTAATCATAGATTTCAGTGAAAGTCAACGAGAAATGAATATTTTCCACCAGAAAGGCATATTTTATTTATTGGCTGTTTTCAAGTTATCATTGGAAAACTATTGAATTAGGTCAGCACTTAGGTAAAAGTCAGAAGTTTTGGAAGGTTTTAGTTGGTTTTATCTTTTTTCTTTTCTGCTGAATAAAAAACTTTTCAGAGGCTTTTGACAGTTCTTTTATCACACAGCATTACAACTGCAGCAATGATTTCATTGTCATTTTCTAAGCTTATTCATTTTTGTGTGTGATATCATTTTTCTGATTATTTTCTAATTCTACCTTTGGCCTCGATGCATAAATGAGTGAAAATTTTT